CTCCATTTCTATTTTTGTCCCTTTAACTCATCCTTTACATAAGAGCAAGAGTGAACTTAATATAAATCATATTGCCCCTCTACTTGAAATGGTATAACAACTTCCCTATCATACTCAAAATCATATATACTCAAAATCATACTCATTTCCATGGCCTGCAAAGTTCTACATAACCTGGACCATAGTGTGAATCCCATCTCATCTCGGGTCACTGTATTCCAGGTATACTCTACTAGTAAAGTCTCAAACATATACATATCCAGCATTTACTCTCTTAGACCCTTGTATGTTTCTTTCGTAACATTTATTACACTGTGTATTCTTTCATTTTATATTTATTTTTTCTCTATCAGTCTCCACTAGCGTGATTGTCTCTATTTCCCACTGTTTTCCCCAGAACCTAGTAAGGGAAACAAGATGTCTGCTCAGTGATTAGATGAATGAACAGTTACGACAAAAGATCGCACTGCAATGTGGTCTTCCCATCAAAGAAAGAAGACATCATTGAATACTAAACCCCACAGTGAAATTCTGTGTTAATGGCATACACAGGTAATGCAAACCAATAACAATCATTCAAAAAAGTTTGAGAGAATGGTCTACATGAATTCCTCATTTGGTTAAGACTCCCACATAGGTTAAAAAAATTCACAATTTATTTATTTATTTGTTGAATCTTCATTAATAAAGACTGAACAATATCAAGCAACATAAAGACATGTTTTCAAAAGAAGGTTGGGAAAGAGTTTTTAACAGGCCTCATGATGATAAGGATTAATCATGATTAAGGAAATGCCAGGCACTGTTCTAAATGCTTTAGTTAAATCTATTCATTTAGACCACATAAAGTCAGAGACTTCACTGCTTAGGAGGAAACTAAGATAGCAAGATGTTTAGCAACTAGCACAAGGGTTGCACAGTAGCAGACCTGGAATTTGAACCAATGTAATCTAACTTCATAGCGCAGGCTCTAAACAATATCTTACCTAGTCTTTACAGAAAAATCTAAAAGACCAATGTTATTGCATACTAAAGAACCTCAGGAACAAGAGAAAAAAATCACAATGAACTACTGAAAAGTTTATGTATTTCTGGAAAACAGACAAACTCTTTAGCAACTGTAATTGGATTAGCTGGGATAAAATTACTCAATGGACTGACCTTGCTTACTTTAAAAATGCCTTAAGCTATCACCTTTTATATGACATAAAAAAGTAACTCCTGTTTAAATATCCTTCAAGAACATTTTAAAAATTGTTTTACATAGGGTCTACATAATACATAACATCAGTTCAGTAAACTATACAAACTTGCTTTCTCAGGGGGAAAAAAAAGGATTTTCTTGAAATAGGTTTTAAAAACTTTATCCCCCAAAATATTTGCAAGCCTCTGTGAAAACACATTATCAACTAACACAACAAACAAGTTATCACTTCAATCCATCCAGTTTGTTTCTGTGGTTAGTCAGGATTGTCTAACCTGAAGTTCATTTCCAAACCAAAAAGACAGAAACAAAGAGCACTTGGGCATAAACAGCAGTGTCAATAGAACCTGGCGCTATCATCTCCAAGAAAGGACAGAGAGCCAACATGTTTTGTAAAATCAATGTAAACAAAAATGGTTCCCAAAGACAAAGAACTCTTCCACAGTGGTTACTGACCTAGAATAAATAACTAGAGAAATTACTCCATATATTAACAAATGGTTTAAAAAAACAGAACATTAAAATTACAAATAGTTTGGGAAACTTTTTCAACAGGGGCAAAGAAATTAACACAGCTTCCTTTATCATTAGCAATTACAACACTCAGCAGAAGTGTACAAAGATCCTGTCTTTTCCACTTGTCGGAAAGAAGACACCTTGGTGGTAACTGAAAGCAATGAAGCAGGAACTCAAAGTAACTGTTCTGAAGCAAAGAAACTAGTTTTTCCTTTCCTTATTCCATTCTACAGTGAGTATTACCAAACACTGTATTTTTGTTTTCCTAGAATTTACAAGACTAAATCTGCTAACAAGGCAGAAAAGAGAACACAAACATGCCTTTGAAACATAAAACATTTTCGTGCAAACCAGGAAATATCAATGCATATAAAGATGTTAAACCTTAGCAAAACAGAAAGAGCACTTGTGATCTTAGTTCCATTTCTGACACATTACTGCCTAAGCCTCTTGAACTCTAGCAAGCAAACACATTGTTTCTGGATCCCAATTTTCTGTTAAATGCAAAGATTTAATATATGTTCACAGAGGTTGCTATAATTAAAAATATTGCTTTCAGTAGGTTTCAGTGAAATGACAAAGTTTCTTACTTTAGTAAAGCTACTTTTAATAGCCTTCAGTTAACAATTTTAAGTACCAAAACTGTAGTTTCTTCTGCACTTGGAAATTCTTAAGTGACAATAATAGATGGTGACCAATTTAAACTCCCAAATGAAAAACTCATTTTACAGTCACCTACTTATTAACCACGGTGACTAATTCAATGGATCACAGTACCAAACTTTTATTATGTTCAAAAGTAGGACAAAGCTCATCTCAGAAAAGTGATAATATTTTCACATAAAAGAACACACTTAAATATCAAATTTTGGAATAATGAAAATAGTTTCACTCTGATAACATTTCCAGCCCTCAGAGTAAAATGACAATATCACAACATTTTATTTATATGGTGATTTCACATATTCTATTTCAAACATTGTGATAACCTATGAAGTGAGTGTATTTTTATCAACACAATTTAGTCCAGCTCGGAATTATGTAGGCTGTCACCCTGCACTGATTAAGTACTGAAACCAACTACAGTCCAGCTCTTCTGATTTAAAGTTTAATAATCTGGGCCTCCCCGGTGGCGCAGTGATTTGAGCGCTGGGTTGCGAAGCTGCCCCCAGCCTCTGCAGCGCCGGTTCAATCCTCGGCCGCCTGCGAGGGTCCCACACGGTGCACAGACTTTTCCCGCCACCCGCTGCTCCCCTCAGCAATGTACTTCGGTCCTTCTGCCTGTTCTGCTCCCTGCTATGGCTCTGATGAATTCTCTCATCCTCCCGCGTTTCTGACTGTACCCAGTGCTTGTATAAATAAATAAATAAATATTTAAAAAATAAAAAAATAAAAATAAATAAAGTTTAATAATCTTCATAATCTTAAAAAGTGGAAATTCAATTAAAGGGCAGGAAGAAGTTGAAAAAGGAAAAAACTGGGCCTCCCTGGTGGCACAAGTGGTTAAGCACAGCACTATGAAGCAATCTGCAGCTCCTGCAGCATGAATTCGATTCCCGGCCCACCAGAGAGAAACCCACATGGTGAAGCAGACCTCTCCTGTCTCGCCCGCTGCTCCCCTCAGCAGTGTATTTCAGTCAATCTGCCTGTTCTGTTCCCTGCTTTGTCTCTGGTGAATCCTCTCACTGCCCCCCTGCATCTCTGGTCTGTACCCCAGTGCTTGTATGCATAAATAAATCTTTAAAAAAAGAAAAAGGAAAAAACTGGGTAATCAGTCCCTGAATAACATCATCAACAACAAACATATATATATATATATATATATATATATATTATAAATATATAATATATGAGATCAGGTTTGGCTATCACAAAGTTAATAAGCAAATTTACCAGATGCCAAAGTAATGATGACACTCAAAACATTTATTTCCACATCTGAAATATCCTATCACTGTTTCAAAGATAAATGTGAAACGTTTTTCTAACTCAAAATACAATATGTAAGTTAAACAACAAGCCGATTAAACTAGCTATAGGTAAACTGATAAAAGGCATCAAAGTACTTATTAAAGTATATCAGAAACTTGGCAATGTTATTTTATTCTGGAATGCAAATCACAGGAGGTAAACTAATTAATGTCATACAAATAGAGTATGTCTATTAAAGAAAAAGCTGTCTTGGTATATTAAAATAATATAAGCAAAGATTTCTATTGTACATTCACACCTACATAAATTGGTCACATTTGGCTGGGCACCATCATTCCTCTTCCGAAGATCAATAAAAAACAACCTATAATCATAAAATGTTGCCTAGAAAAATAACAGTTTCTCATTATCATCTTTTATGCTAAGAATAATTAACTGAAATCAGAGTCAATGAAACACTAAATTCTCTATCGTTATAAAACTAAAAATACTTGCATTAATTTCTCCAAAAGATCAAAGCAATCTAAGAAGCCCCAAAGAAGAAATGAAAGATGCTAAAGTTAGGAAAAGGAGCTATGTTGCCAAGAGAGGTAAACAATGCCAAGGTGATTTTTGCAAGGTGTTTTAGGAAATGAAAGTCAATAGTGTAAAATCTATTAAAGGATTCATAACTAATTTTAGCAGTGGGATACATGGTTTCACTGATTTTAGAAATTTAGACAACCGCTGAGTTTTATTGCAAATACCTCCACTGTAATGAAATACGGAGGTTGGAGGGGTCAGTAGCTTGGAAAAGGCAGAGAACTCCATTCTTTATCACAGTAATAGGAAATGAATGTAGGTCCTCTGCAGGAGATCAGAGGGGCAAAGGCCTCATTCCCTCGGCCACCAAAGCTTTTAAATGGCACTTGCACGCCTGAATTTTGTATATAAGCGGATGCATTTAACATCATGCGCTAGTGGTTGGGGTGGGCAAGAATCCGAACTGACAGATACAGAGAAACAGCCAGGTCATCAGCAAGAAAGACCTTCTCCGTTTACTCCAAGCTCCTAGTCATCACAGGAGAATGAAATGGGTGCTTTGTAATAATCTAGAACGGCTTCCAAGTCCGCGGCGAAAAGACTGAATAGTCGGGAGTCCAGTGGACGGTGACCAACTGTGGAGAGGTGTCCCAAATAACCTGGCTACCGCCAGACTGAGACATCCAGAGTCAGCAGAGCCCTAAAACACAGCTTTAAGTAGAAATCACGATGCCCCAGATCTGTCCGGTGTGGGCGAGCTGCGGAAGCAGCCAAGCTCTGAGGCCAGTCTCAGGCTTTCCAACCCCAGATCCCAGAGCCCGCTTACCTACCGGATCCGACCCCGGCTTCTCCGGATCTCAGGACCGTGTAAGCAGCTCCTGACCGACTCTTCCACCAGCCGCTGGGCTCCGGCCAACCGGAACTAGCATACGTCACTTCCGGTCCGCTTTCCCCCGGGGAGACAGGCTCCTGAAGAGAAACGTTCCGCCTCCTTTCGGCAACTTCGGTTTTAACGTCGCGGCGTTTCCGTTCGAGTCGGCTCGGCCCCCTGTGGGCGGAGCGAAAGGAAGATGACTGTCCCAGCCGCGGTTCCTGACCCGGAACTTGTCCAGGAATCCCGGAAGAGGTTGCTCACGCGCGAGAAGTGTGTTGAGTACACCGTCGTGAAGAGCACAAAGGCGTGAGGAAGGCGGAGGAGGGGTACCCTAGGTAGGTCTGCTCCTCCCACGGCGCTGGAGAGGGATATTTTCCATACTCCAGCTGAAATGTTTCTTCCCACCTCACTGCATAAAACTCTCACCCTTTCATCTCCTTTGTTAACTGTCTTCCGCCCAGGGGCCTTTGGAGCCACTGTTCCTGTTCTACTTGCCCTTCGGTAGGGGGACCAAGCTGATGGGGAGAAGGAGGATCTAGAATTTTTAATTCTTAGGCAAAGCCACCAATCAGGAGTATCCATGCGCCTTCTCCGAATTCAGAAAATACTGAACAGGCGTCACTGCCTTTTTGCTGTGTATTATTGAGTACCCGCATGTATCAAGTTATTGATAGAGATATGGGCAACTTATTGATAGAAGTATGGACAAAGTCGTATGGACAACTAACCAGCCACAATGAAACTTTTGGGTCGGCTCTCCCTCGCCCGTACTCCACCCAATATACATTGTTGACGAGTTCTTTATCTAGTTTGCGTGGGTTTTTAGTGACCCTGATTAAATTTGAAAATGTAAGGCTTTCAATTCTGTCGTTCTTTATCACACAGACCTAACGTCTAGAGAGGTAGTTAATCCTTTAACATTCTCCAGGCTCTGTACTAGACGCTAAGAATGTGATGTATGTACAGTAGTTATGTTTAAGTGCTACAGCAGCTCAGAGGCAGTCTAATTAAGACTGGGGAATGCTGACTACTTAAGAGATAATTGTCATTTGAACTTAAGCTTTTATAAGTTAAGAGGATGTTTTTGTTTGTGTAAGTGGTGAAAAATAGAATTTTGGGGAGCGATTGCTATAGAAAAGGACCATGAAATTTAGTGTGGTTGAATAGTACAGTATGCGGCAGGAGAGGAAATTTAAAGGACAAAGTAAGTTGTTAGTAGACTGTGTAGTGCTTTGAATCCGAGCCAGAATATCTGTTTTATTCTTTTTTTTTTTTTAAGATTTATTTATTTAAGCACTGGGTACAGTCAAAAGCGCGGGAGGGTGAGAGAATTCACCAGAGCCAGAGCGAAGAGCAGACTGACGAAGTACACTGCTGGGGGGAGCAGTGGGCGGCTGGAGATCTGCGCGCCATGTGGGGCCCTCGCCCTGTGGTGGGGATGGAACCGGCGCTGTAGAGGCTGCGGGCAGCTTCGCAACCCAGCGCTCAGCCGCTGCGCCACCGGGGAGGCCCATTTTATTCTTTAGGTCTTTACTCAGTGATAGTTGAGCAGGGAAATTATGTGATCAGATTTGTGTTTTGGAAATATAATTGTAATGGCAGATGGATCAGGGTGAGCTATGTTGTAAGTGAACAAATGTGTAAAGGTTGGAGGTAGAGGAGTTAATTTTGGAGACTTGGCAAGAGATAATTAGGGCATTGGTACTTAGAGAAATTTAAGACTTAATTGAAACAGATAAACTCAACAAGGTTAACTGGTTATGGTAGTATAGAGAAGGAAAAGGTCAGAAACCACAAATGCAGAAACAGTTTGAGAAGGAAGGCAAGGTGCTGGTTTCACTTCGGGACACAGTGTAGATTATGTTCTAGACATTGAAATGGTCAAATCTAGCAGAAATGAGAAATTCAAGTTTGGAGCCTAGGAGAAGCTTTAGGAGTTCTCTGTTTATTATGATTTGGGAGTAAGTGACTTTGTTCATCTGATAAACTATTTGTCTCCTCTCACTAGAATGTTAGCTCAAAACAATACCTTGTTTTGTTCAGTGCTCTCTACCCAGGGTCCAGAACAGTGCCTGCTGCATAATAGGCCACTAATAAATATGAATTGATTGAATGATTGGAAAGAGTATATAACCAGAACTGTCCAATAGAACTTACTGCAATGATGGAAATAAATGTTCTCTCATTTTCTAATGGGTGGCCACTAGTCACTTTTAATATATTGAGCTGTTGAGCACTTGCAATGTAGCTAAATGCAATTGAAGAATTGAATTTTATTTAGTTTTAATTAAAGGTTAAATGTCCTGGGTAATGTCTACTATATTGTACAGTGTATGTATAGACTGAAAAGAGGGCCAAATATGTAAGCTTGGTTAATGCATAAATCAGAGGCAAACAGAAGACAGAAAAGAGGACTGGAAAAAAGCCACCAGAGAGTTAGAATGATAATGTGAAAATTAGGTTAGAGAATTCAAGGGAGGAAAATTAAAAGGAAAGTTACAGTGAATGGTGCAGTAAATTCAGGATAAGGCCTAAAAAGAGCAAACTACCTTTGGCAATTAGCAGGTGTCTTGATTCCTTAGCAATTTCAGTTGAGTGGGTGAGGGAGTGATTGAAGAATTTTAGAGGTAAAGGGTAGGGGAAACTGGTGTCAGTGGCTTAAGGGACAAAGGATTTCAGAAAGTTGGTTTTTTATTTAGATTAGAAAATGTCAACAGAGCACTAGCTCAAGAGGTAAGTCTATTGGGTGGAGCATGGTTCAGACAGTAATGGGATCAAGAGTATTCCTGAAAGAGGTTTAGCCTGAGAGAAATTAAAAAGTACTAAGAGGAAAGGTTTATTGGATTATCTATGAGACTGAGTATTTTATTTATTTATTTTTAACCATCGTCTCAAACAAGGGGCTTTTAGATAGGGTTATAGTAAATACAGCAGGAAAAAGGGACAGGCTGAAATACCTTTTAGAGGAGTGAGATGATAATCTGATAAGGATAATAAAAGATTAGAACAGCCTAAAGACCAAAGATGTGATGTTAGTATTAACTTAACATTTTAGAATTAGAGACTTCATGAGATATGAGACACAAGTGATAAACTTGGTGATTTTTGGAATTTTCTCTACTGACTTACTGGTATGTTTTTAGGTAAATTTGAGAAGTTTTCTGTCATGACCTTTAGATGAGCATATTTTTTGCTGTTATGTTACTGTGGATACACAGCTTCTCTTGTTAGATACCTATTTTTGTTATCTTTAAAATGAGCCTAATAATATCTTTTATTTTCATGGCAACAATAATGGGAGTAAAGGGTTTAGCATGTTATCCAACTTGTAATAAGTCCTCTGTATGTTGTTTCCTTCTCCAGTTAGTATGTGGATCTAGTGTGTGCAATATATGCTTACTTTGCAACCTAGAAATTGGTTAATGGATTAATTTACTTCTTTATATAATTACTGTTTAATTCGGAGTCTGGTTATTAGATTATCAGAAGTTCTACTGATATGTGAGCATCATGCAGTAATTAAATGATAAATGCATTAAGAGATAATGTGAGGTCTAATAAAAATTTAGTTTTTTCTGGCTGCAGACATCTAAAGCCATAAATACTGTATCGGTACAAACCTGTCACAGTATTAGACACACAGTGAAAAAAACCTGAAATGAAGTACTGTGGTATTTATCATTTGTGACTCTCCTACCTCTGGCTACTCCATCTCACTTCTTAGCACCCTTTCTTCATTTCATCTGCTTTATTTCCTTCACTCCATACTTTTCCTAGTGTCCTTACTTTCATCACTTCAAAAATCTTAGTTATGGATTAAGATTTCTAAGATCTGTATTTCTAGCTCTATTTCTTGTTTTATTCTCTGCTACTCTTCCCCACTATCTCTCAACTCTCTGGACTGCTGTTAGGTCATTTGACATAGACTGTCTCTCTCCTGGCTCTCCCACTCGGTATTATTTCTGTCTAAAATCATCTTTCCTCTTCTTACCTTCTTACTCACCCTTTGTCACAGTTTAAATATTTCCTCAAGGATGCCTTCCCTGACCTTCTAAACTGAGCTAAAGCCTTTTTTGTACTCCCCTCATTCACCTCCCTTCTTTCATAACATTCACCACCTTGTAATTATCTCCCTCTTAGAATACGAACAACTATAGTGGCCTTTATTATTCATCACTATATTCTCAGTGCCCCATCAGGAGCCAGCAAACATTTGTTTTATTGAACATGACTTCATTTGACCTTCATTTCTTCATTTTCAATATAGAAATAATCCTGACTTCTCCCTATGATGTGGGTCCATTGATATAGTACAAAGTATCATTGAAACTTTGATACAAAAAAAAATCCCAGGCATGTCTCCTCGGCCATTTGACAGTCCAACTTATTTCCATCACACCTGCTTTTTTTTTTTTTTTTTTTGCACAACGTATGCATTTTTTTTTTTAATAATAAATTTTATTTTTATATTCCCCCATACAATTGGAAACGCCCCATTCTGACCCCAATCCTTCCCCTCCCGCCCCCCACCCCCCAAAAAGTGTCTCTGGTTCATAGTTTTTTGTTGATTTTGATTTTCACTTTCTTATATTCATTTTCCTGGTCCCTTATTTAAGTTTTCTAGATTCCTGCTATGAGTGAGACCATCCGGTATTTTTCTTTTTCTTTTTGGCTTATTTCGCTGAGCATGATCCCTTCCAGTGCCATCCATGTTGCTGCAAATTGCATGTGTTTATCTTTTTTGAATGCTGAGTAATATTCCATGGTATATATGTACCACATCTTCTTGATCCAGTCATCTATTTTTGGGCATTTGGGTTGTTTCCAAAGCTTAGCTATTGTAAACAGTGCTGCTATAAACATAGGGGTGCAGGTGCTCTTTGGAATTGATGTTTCTGTTTCCTTTGGGTAAATACCTAGGAGTGGAATTGCTGGATCATATGGAAGCTCTATGTTTAGTAGGTCCAGAAATCTCCACACAGCTCTCCATAGTGGTTGGACCAGTTTGCACTCCCACCAACAGTGCAGAAGAGTTCCTTTTTCTCCACACCCTCGCCAACATTTGTTGTTGCTAGTTTTTTTAATATGTGCCATTCTCACTGGTGCATCACACCTGCTTTTGTATAACCTTCCTATCCTTCAAATTGTTCTCTGAGACTATGCATTTCATAGTCCTGTTATTTCATTCTTGCCCTTACCCTAAATTCCCTTACTCTTGGCACAGTTAAAACCTGAATATATTCAACTATCCATTGTATTGGGAGTGGAGGATGAAGGAAGACTGTAGATGCAATAGGTTATTTTGTATGTTTGGAGATGGTAATTAGATGTTCATCATTTGGCTTCCATTCTTCTCTCTGAAGTATAAAATTATCTTTTCTATAATTGTCCGTACCTATACTTAGGCTGCTAAGTACTGCAGGAGGAAATCAACTGGTCAGTATGGTGCCACTGTAAAATCATCATCAACCTTAGCCATGTTTTCCAGTCCTCTGTAATCCTGTTGTATTTTGCCACTTTTATTTTAGTCTTCCTCTTCTGACCTCCAGGTTGACTTGTACAAACTACTAGCAACGACTTCCCACATTCAATTTTACAGAGGTGACTGCAGCTAAAACTGTCACATTGAGAAAGGTACTTCATTCCCTGATCAAATCCCTTCATAAGGACTTTAGGTTCCCTCCTCCCTACTGCTTTGTATTGTTCATTTTTCCTCCTATTTTGAACATCTACCTATCTAATTCTAGCTCTATCCATTGATGTTGAAATTATGCTCAATGTTTAAAATATGCTTATCTTTTTATCTTAGCAGAAAAAAAAATAGCTTTCCATTTCTCCATGTCTCCTAATAACCATAGCTTTTTTTCTTGGCTGCTCTTTTGTTTGCCTCTATTTCTTGACATCCAGCTCAAACTAGCTCCTTCCCTTGCCTCTGCAACTACCACACATTAGTTTTGGGTTTTTTTCTTTGCAAAAACTAATGCACAACACATGTTAGACATTGTTCTGGTCTTCCTGCTCTGTGATTGCAAAAGTTGAGACTTTAAGAAGGAAGATCCAGAAAATATAAGGGATGCATGAGCTATAAATGCAGAGTAGGGGGTTGGTAGTGTCTCAGAAACTATCTGAATAGTAAAGGATTCTAATGGACTTCAAGGAAGTGAAAATACTTACAGGTTTTATAATATTAAGGCATTTAAACAATTCCAGGGAAATAATTCTGTTGCAGAGAGGGCAGTGTTTGGATTTGAGATAGACAGCTTGAGAATATTGGGTTGGTTCACTTCTTCTTTATTAACTGCATTTTTGACTTAGGTCCAGCTTTTTTATTAAAAAGCAGTATGTTAAGTACACCAGTATGTTAAATTATACTTTTATAGTTTGGGTACAAATGAATTTAGTTTTTTTTTTTTCCCCCTTTAGATATTGAGTATACTCCATTCCTCTCTGATGATTACTAAAGATATATTGACTCAATTTATTTCAACTTGTTGATATAATCGTACCAATCCTTGACTTCTGGAGATAACCATGACTTCTGTGAAGATGTTTGCAAAGCAATTGTTTTATGTTTACTTTATTTCTAAATTAAGACACTTGAGTCATAAGGCATTAGAGCAGTGGTTCTCAACCCTATCACACCTAATATATACTTTTTACAATAAATCACTTATAGCTAATGTGAAGCAATACAGCAACTTTAGGAAATAGTTAACCAGTTCCTCAAAAAGTTGCAGTGTGCCTTATGACTGAGCAATACACCTCCTAGGAATATGCCCAAGAGAAATGAAAACATTCATGCAGAAACTTGTACTCGTGGCAGAATTATTCATGATAACCAAAAGGTGGAAACACCCCAAATGACCATCAACTGATGGATAAATAAAATGTATGTATCTCTACAATAGAACATTAATCAACAAAGGGGAATGAAGTACTGAGACATGCTATAACACCAACCTTGACCACATTATACTGACAGACACCTGAAATAAAATGCCATGTCCTGGTTTGACTTGTATGAAATGTGCAGAATAAGCAAACCTTTAAAGATTAGTGGTTGCCAGGGCCTCCCTGGTGGTACAAAGAGTTAAGACACAACCTATGAAGCTATAGGCAGCCACTGCAGCAGGGAGCTACCCACATGGCACAGCAGACCTCTCCTGACTCAACTGCTGCTCCCCTCAGCAGTGTATTTCAGTACAGTACATCTGCCTGTTCTGCTCCCCACTGTCTCTGGTGAATCCTCTCACCCCCCCACCATACATCTGGCCTGTACCCCAGTTCTTGTATGCATAAATAAATATTTTAAAAAAGATTAGTGGTTGCCAGGGATGGGGGAGGGGAAAATGGGAAGTGATTGAGCACAGGAGTTTGATAGTGGTGATGGTTACACAACCTTATGGATATATTAGAAAACTGAATTATATCTCAAAAAGTTTAACATCACCTGTAGTATTCTAACATTAACATATTTGATAGTAGCCTACATGCCATAATTAAAATCATTAATGTTCTAATTTTAACAAAAGAAATTTGATACAATATGTACTTCCAAGGTGATTATCTGTGCTGAATTATGTACTGCAAAATTCCAGGGACATCATTTATAAGCATTTACAAATATGGTGACCCATGTATTTCAGCATGTTTGGATACTACTCCTCTGGTGATGGTTATGCCTAAACATAGCATTGAGACCCAGTGCAGACTCGAATGTAGACTGATAGACTCAAATCCATTGAACACCTTCACTAGGAAAATAGGAATTTCTAAAATAATAAAGGATAAAGGATATCTTTGTTTTATACGATAGTTACAATTCTGGTTAATTCAGTGTATATTGAAACTATGCAAAAAACTGTTCCTATGTAAAATGAAATTATTTCACTTGTACTCTTTGCTAGTAAACATCAGAGAAAAAACAACAAATGTATAAGATCCAGAATATATTTTGCGTTTTTTTCTGGATGACTTCATATAGTTCTAAAATACGGCTGCTTATATGCTGTCCAGATACTTTATCTGATAAAGCCTATAACTCCTCACTGCTAGGTAATAATGTTTTTTCTTTCCTTTAAAGATGCTCTCCAAATCCTTGGTTATGGAATATTTGGCTTATCCTGGTGCGCTCAGCTTGGCTGCTGGAGTTGCTTGTGGCATGTGCTTGGGCTGGGGCCTCCGTGTACGCTTTGGGATGATCCCTAAAAGTTCTGTGAACAAGACAGACACAGAGACCGGAACCGAAGCAAGCATCTTAGGAGAGAATGGGGAGTATAAAATGATTCTTGTGGTCCGAAACGACTTAAAGATGGGAAAAGGGAAAGTGGCTGCCCAGTGCTCACATGCTGCTGTTTCTGCCTACAAGCAGATTCAAAGGAGAAACCCTGAACTGCTCAAACAGTGGGAATACTGTGGCCAGCCCAAAGTGGTGGTCAAAGCCCCGGATGAAGAAACTCTGGTTGCACTACTGACGCATGCGAAAATGCTGGGACTGACCGTAAGTTTGATCCAAGATGCTGGACGTACTCAGATTGCACCAGGCTCTCGAACTGTCCTAGGAATTGGACCAGGACCAGCAGACCTAATTGACAAAGTCACTGGTCACCTAAAACTTTACTAGGTCGAATTTTGTATGATGATGGTCCCATTACCATGTGTTTAACAATAAAGGCTGAATTTCTCCCAATTTATGTATTTTTGAGATGAAAAGCCATTCCCGTGTCCTCTCATGTACTTGGCAGTTATCTTGGGCTTTCAGAAGAAAAAGTTGGTTAAATGGTCCTGGTGGTTCAAGTGATATGCACTGAGACAAAAAATATTTGACAGGTCATGACAAAACTGAATTCTTTTTCTTCAAGACCATGTTGCTGTGCTTCTCTTCAAGGATCAGGGGTTTAGAGTATTCCCATTGGGCATAAACTGCAGTTTGCTTTCTTGTCACTTTTTGGATGACTGATAACCTACTTTATAAAATAGATATTTTATATATGTTTCAAAGATGAGGTTTTATAGCATTAATGTAACCTACCTGAATATTGTTTCATGTTCAGTTATCCTAACCCACATTGGGCCAGTATTCTCACAGTGGTTCTATATCAGCACCTAGAAAAAAATTCTTTACTTCCCTTTTCCCAACAATGAGGCGTACTGAAACTTAGGATGTGACTGTATGTATGTAATACCAACATCTCACTGTTTCTTTACCTAGAACTTAAAGAACTATGCGATTCAATTACTTAAGGACACCTTCGTTCCCTTTTGATCTGTATACTTAGTATGATATAATTCCAGTAATTAGTATGCTACATGCGCTGCCCACAACAAGAAGCTGCCCAATTGCTACCTGATCTTAACATTTTCTTGAAAGCTTTCTTTTAGGAAAGATCTCTAAAATATTTCTAAACCCAGTATATCTCTAAGAACTGTGATAATGCTAGGGAAAATATTAACAGGCACATGCTAAGTGGTTAACTTAAACAAGTAGCATGACACAGTAACTTCAGGGTAAGTAGAGTCTGTGGGTAGAACACTATTGAGCCAGGTTCTAATATTTGGTCAGTGTTTATTATATAGTTTTCAGTGGCATTTGACAGCCCAAGAGAAACTGCAACTGTGAATGATGCCACAATAGCAACTGTTTCTACTAAATAGAATGTTTATATTGGACTCAAAAATGATGCAACAACATGTAACTGCTTTGAAGAGAACTCAATGCTAAATGTGAGGCTTGTCACAGAGACTGAGGGCTCCAAGTTCAAAGACTGCATTCCCAACAGGTTGGCCTGCTGTGGCTGATTCAAGCAGTTGTAGTAAGTCATGGCAAATTGACTAGAATGACTAGTATACAAATTCTGATAATTCCTGAACTATATTGTTTTGCACCTGTATTTAGTATTTATAAAGTTCTTAATATTATAGTTCTAAAAGTATCCTTTTTGCAGAGTCTATAGAGTCCTGTAAGACACTTTCAGGGAGTCAAAACTATTCTAAATACTAGGACATTTTTCACCATGTTGAAAGGGCACTGATAGAAAAGCCATGTTCAATAATACGGCTTATACTTCTCACAATCAAGGCAGGGGCAACTATCTACACAAATAGTCATTGATCTTCATGGTCCTACACTCGTGGTAAAACCAAGTTTCATTTAATGCCCTTAATAAAGCAGAAAAAAACCTGATTATTAAATTTAACCTTCAATTATTTTTCTTAATATCCTGTGCCACACTAAATACTTCTGGTACATACTGAAATATGATTGTTGGCTTGAGGGGCAAAGACATTACACGGCTGAATTCTGAGCTAAACTGTTTTTGTCGTGGAACATTTTTACTTACAAGAATGGTAGACAAACTGGTCATCTAGACCGGGTGTTTAGCGGATTACTTCCTCACAAATTAAATAAACTGCCAGGAAAAAAAACTGGCAATATTTTAGAAAACTTGCATCCGCCTCTCCACCAAGCTCCCCCAAATTTAAGATTTCTGATGAGATTGGTGTACCTCATAAATATGATTTTTAAAAATATAGAAAAGATGTGTTGACATTTTGAAGGAAATATGTAACAGTATAATCAGTATTTTCCACCTAACCAGTGCGGGTAAAAGATCCATTGAAAGTAAAGGACATACCAATGGAGTTTACTCTTAACGGTACAAAAAGCTCACTTTCATGGTGTCAGATTGCACATCTCAACTAAGCACAGATACCTGAAAAAGATTAAAAAATACTCCCTTTTCCAAATACCTATCTTTATGAGGCCAGATTTTCTTCATAAACTTAAATTAAAAAAAAAAAACATAACATTAAATATAGAAGCCGATATAAGAATCCAATAGTTTGCTCAGATGAACTTTAAACAAACGTTAAAAAAAAAAAAAAAACATGAGAACTACAATGCTGTTCTTCACTCACCTGACTTTTTTGGGGGAAATAAGGTCAGCACATGATTGCCTGTTAATATGTAATGAGATAATTACTAGCAAATTCAAACAGCCCTACGTGAAAATCTTGTCTTTTGCTATCTTACTAATAATGTCTATGGTGAAGTATCTGTCAATGAATACCACAGATTTTATTTGGACATTAGGAAGGAAGTTAAGTGAAAGCATGTTTATTCCCTAAAAAGGTTCCTATTAATCTCTTCTTATTCCCATTTTAGTTATATTTAGATGCAGTAAGAACTCTTTGTATCATTTTCTGTTTTTAACTCCTTCTGCTAGACTTCCCTCCTATTCAGAGTAATGTTAGGAAAGATAACTTAAAATATAGCTTATTACCAATTATTATACAACATTTAATACTACCCAGTCTTGAACTAGCCCATTTTATGATTTAAACACTCCTGCAAATAATTCAGAAAAGTATGAGTGTTAATATACACACATGAGAAAACAAGCTCAGTTAAGCTTGCTCAGAATTTGAACCTAAGTCACACTATAGCAGTTTCTCTTTCTATTGTAGCCCATTATGGATATTTTAAGTGTCAACACAGTATCACAGAACATACAAAGCACCAATTTGGAAAATGCTTTTTTGTTTAAAAAGTTTACCATAAGATCGCTTCTCGGCCTTTTGGCTAAGATCAAGTGTAAAAAGTTTACCATAAGAGTACCTTCACTAAAACATTCTGGCATGTTTCTACTAGGGCAGAGAAAAGAAAAGAAACATTCCACTAATAAGATGAAAACAGTTAATTCAAATTATGGAAAAAGCCCAAGAGAACAAATCTTGACTCTGAATGAGCTCCAAGGGACCACTACTATTCTCACCTCTTAGTTTTCATAATGATGAAGAGATGGGGTAGATACCCAGTAGGAACACAAATAAAGTCAGGGCTTTGAACAGCAAGATGCTTTCACTATGAGAAATCAAGAGATTTTCCAGCTAAAAAATAAGGGGGAGGTGAACTAGGTAGGTTAAAGGTAGGGGGTTCTAAGTTTTCAAAGTTCTTAAAAATATGGAATTTATGGTGATTTCCCTGACTATTCCCTGAGGAATACTATGTAGCATGCTAACTACATGCTTAATACACTTTTAAATTAACATAACTAAACACCCATAATCTCTTCATTTACATAAAAACCTGAGGTGCCACTTGGTTATAATGGTACAGCTGCATTGTAACCCACCATAGTACTGAGTAGTTCTCTAAACTACTGCTTGTTCCTAATTAAACATAGTGTAATAGTGTTTTCACATGTCCTCTTTCTACTTCTGCCTCAGTAACTAATATGAAACTAAAACCATATTCTTTTGCTTTACGTTTGTGAGGTGTTCTCATTAAAACTGCCATTCTATATGTTATTTCCACAGTCCAGTAATTTATTTTAAATTTGAGTAATTTCAAATTCCACAAACAAAACTGAAGAACAGCCATATTTTGTTTGAGTTCTTTCTTCTGTACACTCAGTGATCTAAAACACCACAATATCCAACATACACAAACCTCAGGGAAGGGTTAGTAAATACACACAGATTGGAATCATGGTGCTCTTAGTTCCTGAACGGAATGGTCCCACAGAAAAAGCACAGGATACAGCACAACATAAGGGCACCTGTTACATATGAAGTGAGCAAAAACACACTAGCATTTTCTTCTATATGCATAATGAGGAAACCTGCATAGGTTAGAGGGTCTTTTATGCTCGTTTAAAAATCAGGCAAGTTGTCTGTAATGCATTTTTCAAATAATTTGGAGAGCACTGCAATCCAAGTTAGGATATGCTAATTAGTGTTCTTTGTTGGCATTGACAAGTCTTACAAAGTCATATCAATATTTTGCCGTAGCTTTTCTTTGAATAAAAGATTTAAATGCATTTAGACAATACATACTGTAAGCTGTTTACATACACTAAATTTAAGAGATTCAATATTAGAGTTTTTTTTTTTTTCTTTAAACACTACAGAGTGCAAATCAGGTTCTTCACAACAGATTGAATATTAAGCAGTTCGTCAAAGAATGGGGAGGAGGGAGAAGAAAGAAAAGCCCAAGTGAATAAAACATTTGAAACTATTCCCCCTTGAAAATAAATTCTAAAATGATGCGGAATGTGAAATAAGCTTTTAACACAGGTGATCCAAGTTTATAGTTAGAAACAAAAAATAGTCCTTCATGAAATAAAGGTTACAAGAACATGTGCCTGTTTTCCCCCATTATAAATTGAGAAGCAGGTAGAGACGATGTTTCTGTACGAAAATAGGCGACTCAGGAGGATCAGCTTTCCATCTCACATGCTGTACCCAAAGCCAGGTTGTGGCTGCCCATAGGGTGGTGCAGAGTAACCATAGCCAAAAGGTGCCTGCGGAGGAACTGCAACACTGGGTCCCGCTGTCAGCATTAATTGGGGCTGACCTAAAGGAGGGAAAAAAAAAAAAAGAGGAGGGGCAGGGATAAGGAGGTGGGAGAAACTGTTAGCACCACAGGATAATAACCCTCTGATCTCCATTATCTGAGCAACAACCACAACTCAACTTAGAATGAGTTATGTGTGGGGCACTTTTGACTATCACAATTTTAGCATGAGTCACCTTAACAAGCCAATTTAAATGCAGGGTCCAGGGGCAGAACTGAAATGGCTATGTTACTTCGTGTCATTTGAAAATGCACGCTTCACATGATGGGGCCCATAAATCTGTCCGTAATTCCATCACCACATGGTATCTGCACATTCTATTTGATGACAATAAACATCAAAGACAGAGTGAGGAACAGAACAAGACAGACTGACTGAAATACACTGCTGAGGGGGAGCAGCGGGCAAGCGAGGAGAGGTGCGCTGCGCCATGTGGGCAGGTCCCCAGCTGGGGATCAAACTCGTGCTACAGTGGCTGTGGACAGCTTCGTAAGTTATGTACCAACCCCTTGCGCCACCAGGGAGGCCCCAAATTCAATGTTTAAATAAATGTTCACCCAACAGTGAAATGGGAAGAGGATGTCAAGTTCAGACATCCATGTGTAAGAAATTAAATTGCCTTAAATATTCACATTAAAAAAAGACATTAGAGGGCTTCCCCGGTGGCACAGCGGTTGAGCGCTGGGTTGCGAAGCTGCGCGCGGCCTCTGCCGCGCCGGTTCGATCCTCGGCTGCTCCCCGGCCACCGGAGGAGGGTCCCGCATGGCGAGCAGACCTCTCCTGCCGCCCGCTGCTCCCCTCAGCAGTGTACTTCGGTCCTTCTGCCTGCTCTGCTCCCTGCTCTGGCTCTGGTGAATTCTCTCACTCTCCCGCGCTTCTGACTGTACCCAGTGCATGTATAAACAAACAAACAAACAAATAAATAAATAAAACATGCCTCTATTTAAAAAAAAAAAAAAAAAAAAAAAAAAGACATTAGAAGACAAAATTCACGTAAGAATTTGAGGATCCAATCTTTCCAGAAAGTTCTCAAATGGAAACTACCCAGTTCTCTGTCCCAGTTAGAATTTAAAGAGAACATGTACTTTTTATGTAAAACATACTATAGGTAGCTGGGTATGTTCTCTCATGTTTCACACGTCTGCAAATTGAATTCACCAATACTTTCTCAGTAACTTGTAAGTAATCAATCAGTGACCAGGCAATAGGAAAACTTAGGTTATCTTCTTAAGTGATGTTTTTAAGATTATCTTTGTATTTAAGTTTATCTTACTGAATGTCAATTCCTACTTTAAGACTATTTCCTGTGTGTGGGGGGGGGAGGGTTGATGGTAGAATTATTCCTCAATTCAGCAAGCATTTTGTACTTGAGAAGTACATATTACATTTCAATTTTGTAATAGAATCCCTAAAGAATGAAATGTTTCATCTACTATGTATCTGTGAGGTTAAAGAGAGAGATTACCATAAACAATAGGTTGTGTCTCTGTAGCTTGTTCTTCTTCTTTTCTCAGTGATTCTGAAGCATCTAATTTATCCACCTGGAGAAAAACAGGTAATGTTAATTAGCACCCCAAAAGTATTATAAACCTAGATTTATGGCAGAAAGTGGAAAAGCCTTAGTATGTTAAATTTTGTCAAATTAAACACACTAGAAAGAACATTCTCAGGCCCCCTCAAATTCAATGGCAATGATCATACTTCAGTCAAGGTGGTTTTTAGCACTGTCATTATAAACCCTCAGGAAGGAGGGATTTATAAATGCCATAAAAGCTCACGCCAGGCTAAAACTGGGCATGCTAGGATGCAGCCAGCCTGAGGGAAGGAGATCACAAGAAGGAACCACTTTTTCAAATGACGTTTAAACCCCATCAAAGATAATAACAATGAACTCATGACCCGGCAAGACTTCCCTCCCAAAAGGAAATGGTATTCAAAAAAGTGAAATGAAGTCTAATGACCGGAAAAGTTCTTGTGCAGTCTAAGCCATCTTTTGCCAATTGCGCATAGCTTTTACAGATATTGGTAACAGATGTGGACTTAAGTTTAAGGCTGAAGTGGCTCCATATTTGGTATTTTAAAAATAAAGACAGGCTGCATGTTTTAATGTTCTACTTTTTATAAAATGACTAGGAATGACTGATTTTTTCCCCAACTCACTGAGGAAGAAATTTTTGCTTTTAATTAAGCTAAATAAGTAAATGGCTATTATATACTAGTTACTCTAAATAAAGTAGATAGCATCAGACAGAAATAATACTGCACAGGAGTCCAAATGTATTAGTAAAAGAAAGGAGCTGGAATACATAGTTCTGTCCACTAATTAGTTGTGTGACTTGGGTAAACCATTGCACTGACCCTCAAATTTCCTTGTCTATATAATGAGATGACTGAAAAAGATAATCTGCAATGTTTCTTCTAGGACTAACATGATTTGATTCTGTAATTCTGTGAAAAAACAGGAGAAGTAACATTAGGATACTGGGACAGGCAATCTCCATGGTGTAGCTTCCATTTGCCTTTTAAACTATAGTTGATCTTTCAACCAAAACCTTACAATTAATCTATCATTATACTTGAAGTAAAACTAAACTTCAACACTCAATGTTTTCTATTAGTGGTTTCAAAGTCAAGTGTTGTGCGTGAGATGGGGGGCAGAGTGCAGGAAGGTAATTTTTATGAATGTTATGTTTACTGCATGTTCTTCAAAAAGGCAACTAGTTGAGAAAAAAATTAGAAAAAAAGACGTGCACTTCAGGGGAAAAGCTATGAAAAGTGGGCCCTAAAAAGGTTAAAACAGTTCCTAGGTTCTACTTGAAATTAATTTTTAAAATGTGTGTTTAAGTCTTTACATACACCATTAAGGTTAGGCAATATTTTTAACACATATATTGTTTCATATTAAATATCATGAATATGGATCAATCCATACTAATTTGTCAGGGAACAAAATTTGAGAAAAGCTGAGGTAGACTCTAGACACCTTCAGATAAAAGTGTTTGCACCACTTTAGGAATATGGGTTAGTTTGCTTTTGCACACTATTTTCCTATTTCATAGCCTAAGTACTCATGTGTTACAAATTACCCCAATATTAAAAGATTACTATGGCATATAAGACCATGAAAAACACTCATGGTTTGGCACCCAAATTTAAAAATTATTATAGCTATAGAATTTAAAGCAGTCTATAGCATCAAGGTTCAGATAGGGTTTTTCCTAGCCTAACCAATATCCAAAAATGAGTTAAGAAGGTTATACAATTAAAAAAAAAATTACATGGATGAGTGTACATTAATAACATCTCAGAAGAAAAATGAAACAACAAAAAACCACAACTGCATAATACATTTCCAGACTTTCAAGAAAAATAATCTACAGTGAACGTGTTTTAAAGTTAATGTCTGAGTTTTAATGTCTGAATCAGATATTAATACAGAAGTGCTTAAAATATAGCAATATCACAATGCCCAGGCATAGACACAGGTTAGACACAGGGAAAAAACAAAAACTCTGAAGGAGAGGCATTGAGTAAAAATCTTTTGATTTTTTTGTATAATGGGACAGCCTCTGGCATAGCAACATCCAATTTTTGTGTCCACTGGACCCAATTTAGGTTGCTCCCCCCACCCCCCCCAAAAAAAAAAAAAAAAAAGGCAGAAGGATTTTATGAACACAAGCTTTTGTTAAGAGCTGTAACAAAAGTTTCTGATCCTTGGATTTAAAAAGAAAAATTACAGGTAAACATGTCACTGAGTTCAGTTTCATCTATGCTATTGAAAATTCACTAAAATGTAAAAGGCTTTTCCACAAAGACTGCAATATGCTGCAGAGGAAAAGTTAACATGCAGTCAGTTATTTTGGTGTATGTGTGCATGAAAAAAAGGCAAAAGTACTGAAGCAAGAAGTGAGGTCTGAAGATGACTGTTGGTATACAGGCTCTCAAGAAACACACACAGCCCACAGCAATGCTTTAAGAGTTTCAAAAGTAGTATGATGTAATTGCAATGACTGTTGTACATGCTTGATTTAAAAACAATGCATAACACTGCAGTTCAATTACCTGTTTTTCACACACACGCTTTCTAACTGCCTTGCTTACTAGCTGCTGAAGGGCCTCACACACAATGCATTTTACTCAGGTTTGCCCTAAGTTCCAATGGTGACTCCAGTTTGGTTCAACAATTCCAAGGCATTTGTCCCCCACCCAAATTCTTTTAAATTTGTTTCAGCTCTCCTTTACCATCCCACCCTTTTCTAACCACAATTGTATGACAGACAAAAGTATATAATACCAGACATAAGTTTCTAAGTTTGTTTCATTTCTACTGGGATGGAGAAAATCCAATGAAGGAAGCAGCAACCAAATAGTGCCTAAATTTGACCTTGGACAAGCCAACAGATGAATAAAGAGGGCAAATTTTAGGTAGCTTCAGAGGTGTGCCTTATTACAGAAAGAAGTTAATATTACTTTGTTACATACAGAAATAATCCATGTTGCTTAGCAACAGTTATAGCAAGCTACTCTTTATGATTAAAAAAGTTTTGATTTCTCTTGAAAATGGACTAGCACCATAAGAACTGGACACCTGGAGAAACATGAGGAAAGTCTCTTCGGAAGCAGCTAGTATCTCTTGTATCTACTTTCAGCAAAAAATTAGTAAGAATCAAGAGATCAGAAACTGGATCACAGTCCTTCAATACCAAAAAAACCCCAAAAAAGCCTTTTAGGGCATATATATATATATACATATATAAATTCAACAACTGTCAGGCAAGCTCACAAATTAAAACCAGAGGCTGTTTTAATTTATTTAGAGTATTAAGAAAATCCTATTATGGTCCAGATACCCTGACAGGGAAGAGAAATTTCCTGAAACTTTGGAATTAATATGGAAACTCACCATGCTCAGTTTTTAATAATATATTTAAGAGAGACTGTGAACCAACTACTGATTTGCCTCCTGCCCTTCCTAAAGCCTATTAGCCGATTAGTAGCAAACATCTACTAATGTCCTACAGCTCTATTATAGTTATGTTTCAAGGGACTTGCAGAGGCTTTAGTGAAAATTTATTGGGGGGAAAAAGCAGCAGCAGCAGTGTAGAAAAGGAAGGAAAAAAAATCATGCAAATTCCTTAGACTTAGTCCTCCAGACTTAAAGATGGAAAAGAATCAACCTTCACCTTTTCCTTTATTGCATCAACCTGCAAAGGAATTCAGAAGGTGCAGCTTAGAAAAAAATCAAATTCCATAATGAGCATAAAAAGGTAGAATCAGCAACAAAGGTTTAGGGGAGAAACATCTAACCACTGAAAAAGGTATAAGAAAAGTGAAAATAAAGGGCATACTGAAAGCAAAATTTAGAATATTTTTCTTAAACTTCAGAGCTTATTGCAGAAGAATTTATGCTAGAATCAGTGTGAAAGAAAGCAGGTAGTAAATATCGCTAGTAAAATTTACAGCACTTTGGTTAACAGCAGCTTAGAGCCAGGTCTCACAAATTGGCATTATGCATAAGAAAAGAAGCTATTCTCATCTATGGCTAAGATCAGACAACTTTTTTTTTC